CAATCTGGTGTTTACCTCTTCAGAAATGACAGGAGATATTAAGTGCAGGATTTCTTCTTCACCCCTTGATCCTTCAGTTGTAAACAGGGATTGATAGAAGTTAATGAAGCAAGTCTCAATCTGCTCTTGGCTAACTGCAGGTCTGTTCATAGAATCCACCACTCTAGAAATGGGATTCTTTTTCCTCCTCTGCATTGTGATGGCATGGAAGAACTGTGTGTTCTTGACCCCTTCCTTTAGCCATTGAACCCTTGCTTTTTGTCTCCAGAACTCCTCCCCTGATAAATGGGAATCATCCAGCTCCTTATTGACCTTCTCCCACTCCTCCCAGTTTCTCTGTTCCCCTAGAGCTCTCATTTCCTCCAGCTTCAAGGTAAGATCAGCAATCTTCCTCACATTCACACACTTAAACTCTTTATTCCATCTGATAAGTGCCATCCTGGTCTTTTTAATCTTCTCTTTCAAGGCATACATTAAAAACCCTTCTACTGATCCACCCCAAACCTTCTCCACCTCCTCTTGGCACCCTGGTTTTCCCAACCACCTTTTATCAAAGAAAAACCTCTTCAAGAATTGAGATTGAGCAGTACCTGAATCCAGAACCAGCATAGTATGATCAGAAGAACTTTTGAAGTAGGTCTGGACTTTGGTTTTCTGATTGTCAACTAACCATGAGAATGAGCCAAACACCATATCTAGTTTTTCTTCAATAAAGTCTTCATCTCTTTTGTTGTTGCACCATGTAAAAGGATACCCTTCTAGTCTCACTTCCATTATTCCCATCCTTGCAATACAACTGTTAAAATCTTCATAGCTTCTCTGGGTTCTCACTCTTCCTCCTCTTTTCTCAGAATCCCCACATACTTCATTCCAGTCCCCTCCTATGCACCATTTAGATCCCCACAATTGATGACACCTTTCCAGCTCTTGCCATTGCAATTTTCTCATCTGACAGTCAGTACTTGCATAGACAAGAATCAACCATTCACTGGAACTTGAAGCAGACATTTTATATTCCACTTGCAGACAAAAGTTAAGGTTAATAATCTTGACAATCTCCATTTCCCTACACTACATCAATAATAATCCCCCACTCAACCCAACAGGCTCCACAGTGAAGTTCCTCTCAGCAAACCCTAGCTTCTTGCGAACAAAGTCAGTAAAGAACTTATTTTTTCTAGTCTCAGATCAAAAAAAAAAAAATGGGGAAATGGATTCTTATGGAATCCTTAAGTTGGAAAACTGTAGAGGGTCCTCCCAAACCTCTACAGTTCCACAAGATTGTCTTCATTTATAACCTTGGGTCCATTCAAGGCTGGCTACCCCCACCTGTTGAGTTTATTTTTCTGTTACCTTCCTGGATTTTCTGGTCACTATCTCACTCTGCTCTTCCCATTGATTATTGATTTGAGAATTGATGGTCTGCCTCTTTTTTCCAACACTGATATGGCCCCTTCATAGTGTGTATCCATAACTCTCTGCAGTCTACCAGAATCTGTCTTCTTCCTCTTCCAAGTTGAAGTATTAGATTTCGTGTTGGATTGCAGTAGCTTCATAGTTCAGACTGCCACACCTTGCCCAACATTAACTATCTCCTTGCCTTTAGACCTCTCCTCTTTATAAGCACTCCCTCTATCCTCCACCACCACTTGTTGGTTCCATTTACTCATGATGTGCTCTTCATCCTGACTCATATTGATGTCATTGATTTCATTAACCTCGGGATTGACCACCAGAGCTACAGACATGTTATGCTTTGGGAGATAGCCTTGGCCATCGTCTTCACTGTCCACTTCTTGGTTCTTTTCAGCACTTGCCTCCTCTAGAATTGGAGATGGTTCTCCTGTATTCTGCAGATTACTATTAGTATGGGAGGGATTAGAGTTCTGAGAGGATCCTCTCATTCTTCCTGTTTCCATAGCTTTCAACCATTCACCAAACTGACCCATTTTTTGTTTACCTTCCTCAACATCCTTTGCTTTAGCCTTACATGCCCTCTCCAGGTGACCTACCATTCCACAATAATAGCAGCAACTAACTAGCTTCTCATACAGAAATGTAACACCCAATCTTTGGTCACCAAGCTGATATTTGCACATCTAAGTATTGGCTCAGCCACATCATGTGAGACTAACAGCCGTAAGTAGCTGCCTTGAGCTCCCCCTGATTTCACTACAAGAACATCTTGATTTTCATGAATAACCTTTTAATCTTTCTTCCCACCTCAATACTCAACCAGTTTAATGGTAGTTTATGAACTTGCACCCATAGAGAGATTTCACTAAAGCCTGGATCGGTTGAGGTTAGACCTTCCCTCCACTGTTGTAGTACCAAATACTGGTTTTCAAACACCTACTTAACTCCAGCTAGCACCATATCCTTGTCCTCCTTACATCCAAAAATAAATTGAAAGAAGTTTTCTCCTACTTCCTTCACCTCGAATGCCACCGCAGTTTGCCAGACTAACCCCATTAGCCTCTTTAAACCTAAAATATTAGCTTTACGGTCCCCAATAATCTTGCTGAGGACACTTCTGCGACATTCTTCATCACTCAATTTGACGTCATTAGTGTCTAACTCCACATCACGACTCTCCTTCATCGACAGCTCCAAAGCTCGGAACTGTTCCCCCAATTCCTCGGCCATTGCCGAGCCCTACTTTTGTTTCGACACCAATACAACCAGATGAAACAAAGCTGAGTAAATCTAGAGCAGATGAACGCTAGAGACTCTTCCACAAGAGAATCGTAATCTCCAACAAGATAATTGGATCTCCGACGAGATAATCATACTCTCCGACGAGAGAATTGCTAGGGTTACTCATCAACAGGTAAGGTTGAGTGATTATTCTCCAGAGTTTTTTCAACAATTAAGGCTTCATTATGCGCTTTCAAGTCTCCAAAACCTAAATCCCCCATTCTCCTTCGACTTTGCTAGAGCATCCCAATAAGCCCAATGGATTCAATCTGCCCCAGCCTCAGTCTTCCCCCGTCAGAAACTAGCAACAACCCTAATCTTATCTTTGAAAATACAAAAAGAAAATTTAAAACAAGACATTATAAAAATATGAGAGCACTAATAACAATTTCAGTAAGAACTTCTTTTCATGCTTCACTTAAGAACTTGTTTTTCCAATTTGAAATTCTTTTCAGCACTCTCATAAATGAATTTAAAAGATTCTCTTTTAGACTTTCCAATCCTTAGAGGGAGTCCTAGATATTTAGAAGATTTAACTCCAGATATCACATTCAATATGTAACAAATATCATGCTTGCTTATGTTCTGAGTGTTTGGAGAAGAATACATAAGAATAAGCAAGGTTAATTAATTGACTTGAGGAAGAGCCATAATGACTCAAAATATTCAAAACAAGATAAGCATGGGAGACATCAGCTTCACAAAATAACAAGGAATCATCAACAAATAAAATGTGGGAGATCATAGGAGAATGCCTACATAACTTAAGATCTTTGAAAGAAGAATTTAGACAAGCTTGGCTAATCAAATTAGAAAAAGCTTAGAAAGAATCAAAAACAGTTTTAGGAATAAAAGATCTCCCTATCTTAAGTCTCTGGAAGGCTGCCAAACCCCCAAAACCATAGAATTGATATTAAAAGAAAATGAAGTGGAAGAAATACAACTTCATATCCAATCCACAAAAGTACTACAAAACCCAATTTGTCTACAAACTTTAATCAAAAAAGCCATTATTCTCTATCATAAATTGTGGCCATATTACCAGTTCTATGACAAACCACCAGTTCACATATAAATTTTGACAGGGAATCAGTTCGGTCTCTCAAATCCAACATGGGTGACTAACATGATAATTTGAGTACACTATAAAATGGATTTGTCTATATATCTACTTTCCCAATACTCTGAGAAAAGGATAATGAAATGGGCACAAAAAAGGGAAAGTAAATAAAAGTAGCAGGATTAAAACATATCCTATTCCCTGAGATTACCAGAAGGTTATGAAATGAGAATACATATGATTCAAGGCCCTAAATCTTTACAGGCAAACTTAACAATACGGTTCATTCACGTGAATATAAAAGCAATCAAATTAATTTACGAGTAAATTGTAATTTTAGTCCGGGATGTTTCATTTTTCTAATTTTTTCGTCCTTTTCGAATTGAGTTTTTTATTTCCGTCCCTTATGTTTGTAAATAAAATTACAAAAAAAATTTTTCGCAACAAAAAGTCATTTAATTTTTGTAAAAAAAAAAAAAAATCCAATTTTTTCTCTTATGATGAAAAAAAGACATTTTTGTAACTTTTTTCCACACATACGGGACGAAAATTAAAATCACAATTCAAAGAGGCTAAAAGAATTAGAATAGTAAAACACACAAAATTAAAATTATCATTTACTCTTACTAAAATAACCAAGTTCATATTCTTATTCCATAAATGAAAAATGGAATACAAAAAAAAGCCACGGAAAAGCAACCTGACACCAGACACTAGACGTCGGAAGAAAAAAATAATAATAATAATAATACATGTAACCAGACTATTATTCAGCCTGCAGCCAACAGAATCTATTATCCCTCCTATCTGAAAAATTGGATTATTAAAAACAGCAAATAATTCGAAATTTTAAAATTTGATGACCAAAATAAATATATTCTTCTTTTACAAAGTAAAAGCTCCTGGTAGAAAAAAAAATATAACTCATTGCCAGCAACAGTTTTCCGCTACAGTAGGGAGTAATCATAGAAACTACACCAAGGTTTAGCCCAAATACAAAATAAACTCATTCATTTCCTAGAATTACAAATCAATGCACTCTGTAAGACAAACAATTTCAACTAATTTTTAAAGAGAACGGGGTTCCCCTATAAACAAGTCAAACCTTGGCCAGTTTTTGTGTAACCAACTGTAACTATGGAAGCAAAGAGCATGAGAAAATGGCTCGACATTGGAGACGATTCCACCGGACAATCCAAAAAATATATATGAATATACAAACAGAAAGAAGAGGCTCAAGAAACTATCTCCACCAATCGGGTATTTTCAGCCTCCTACTCCGGTGTACAGCAAGCTTAACCGCAGGTACCTTCTGCTTCACCTGTCTCCAAATCATATTGACTGCATCTTCATCCATCGGGGGATACTGGAACTCAAAGTGGTGAGAAATGCTTATAAGTTTAGACCACATTATAATCCATTTTTCTTTGGAAACAGCCCTGAGCTCATTTATCAAGTGGCCTGGTTTAAGTGCCTCGTTAACTGAGAAGAAAATGGAGAATTCCTTGTAGTCTATGTCACTTTCAAAAGGCAGCTCGATTCTGTCACTCACAATAACAGGAACACAGTGGCTGACAATAGCATCAAATAGACGGCAAGAAGATGGAGTGTCACCCGCAGGATGGAGACAAAACTTCGATGAACGCATTTGTTCGGTAGACTAGAATAACCCAAAGAAAAATGAGGTGTGAGATGCAAAAGTCCGTTCAACATTATGTGAAGGCTGAAAAACTCCTAAAAAGGGCCCTTAACAAAAACAATATAAAAGATTTCTCAATTTTGTTTCACTGTCACAGGTACACAAGGTACCAAAAAGGAAAAGGCAGGAATTATAAATATACAATTGTGCAAATAAAAGTAATAAATAGCAAATAAGTTTGAAATTTTTTTGGTTCAAGTTTTATTAACTTTATTATCGGCATAAATGTTTAAATTAAAAAGTGCACCATGACATCTTTGACTAGTATCTCGATGGCCTATCACAAACTAAAATCGTATAACAATAACAATTCTCAGTCGGACTTACAGCCTTGAAGCCTTCTTCTGACGCATAAGCTTCCTCGTATACGACATCTTTTGTTCCATTTAGCATCTTATGCAGCTGAGCACGAATTATTCCTTCCTGTCACATTTAGAATGTCAAAACAAGTGCTTCAAAAAACTAAGCTTAAAAAAGAATGATGAAAGTCTTTTCATTTGCTTACATCTTTCCTCTTAGTTCTTCCACGGAAAAAGAGAAGAGTTTCACGAGATTTGAATGGATCATCATGGTCATCACTAACATATGATTCGACCATGTGTGGGTAGGGGGCTACAACATCCTTTGCCAGACTAGAAATGTTCATTATGCGACCAAAATCCGCGACAATGAATATGGAAGCATTAACTTTATCCCGATAATGTCTGAAAGCATTGGGATGATGCACCGGAATCACATGGTCTCGCCCGTCAGACCTTCTCCAGTAATCAGATGCTCTTAAGATATTTACCATCTCCAGCTACATTTACAAGCAATGATTATCAGATTTCCAGAAGACAAACTGATTGATATTTCAAATAGTGAGGACAGTTTAGTAACCCTCATATCCAAATCCAAGTAGATGATCAAATCAAGTACAGAAAGGAAAATAGCTGAAGCAAGGTGATGTAAAATACTACTTGTAGCGAGTACTCTGACTATTTTCAACATATCATGGAGCTACCTAATAACTCCAAGCCCATTTCCAGTATACTACTTCACTGCAAGAACCGCAGCAGAATAGATTGTATTTACGTCTGTTCTACAGCAGTCAAGCAAGGGTGATATGCAGTACATCATGCAAATCTAGAAGAGAGGTTTCAGAAAAAAAGGATGCCAAATCAGTCATTCAATTATTGTGAATAAGCTGGACATGCAATCAACTTTTCTTCTTATTCTCTGAACAACAAAAAGAAGTAACTCCGGTGTCATCAATGGGATGGCAGTAAATGGCGGCAAGACAAATTCCTGCCATAGCGGCCTCAATGACGGCCTATGGCACCGTAATTGCTGCCATCCTTCACAAATTTAGCATCACGTGTGGCAAAAATCCACCATGACTGACATTTGGGAACACTGTAACTCGTTAAAAATAATAAGAATTCAATTAAAAATCGTGGCAAACATAAAATGAAATTTTGTATCTGTAACAATAGATTTAGTACATGCCAAGCATTGGGGCCTGGATACCTAGACTACTGTGACAGCTCATCGGCCGCATAGTTTAAAGCCAGAAAGCAGAAGATAAAAATTATCACTCTACTTTGCAATTCATGTATCCAATGTTTCAAGTTTTCAAGTATGAATGTAAATATGTAAAGGATCTGACTGCATAGGAATCACCATATCGACAACTTAATCCCCTGGATTTAAATCCATACTAAAAATGCAAATAAGAGACCAGATGGAAAGCAATGCACATTTTTCATCAAGCCAATCGAACATTCTTGAATTACAATCTAACGATTATGTCAATCAGTAGAAGAGCAAAGTAGTGATCCATTCAGAGAAGACATTAGCCCATCTACAGACACCTAAATAAGAAAATATGGAAAAATTATATATAGAAATATATAAAATAAATAAAAATCAAATCAACTCCATGATATGAAAAACATATTTGTCCTTCCCATAATCCCATTGCCTTATCCCACAATTGGACATTACTTGATCAGATTTTAATCCACAAATGACATACCAAAAGTTACATTATATTTTAAAACTTGAAGGCAACTCCTGAAAACCATCTTTATTAATTATTCTAGGAAGGAACTAAGAAAACCCAGAATTGGCCTTCATAAATTGTAGGCAATAAGCATGTTAGCCTCTCTTTTCAATTTTCATAGATACGAAAAACTGTTAGGACATCAATGTCAGTTGAGCCTACAGTTACATGGATCTAACCATTCTAAACAAAATGTTTCTGTTGATTTGTTAGAATTTCATATACACAAGAACAGCAGCTATTAACAATCAAACTTTTAAATACGATCAAATATCAGAACTGTACCAGATGCTGCAACAGTAATCGCAAATACAGCACTAACTTATCCCAAAGTCAAATGTAATCACCTCATAAACTAATTCGACAACGCCAATTAAAAGAAAATTTGAGAAAAAAAATAAAAAAAAAAAGAAAAAAAAAAAACACGAAAGAAACAACTCCAGAAACAACTGAAATCGTACCTGCAACTTTTCATCAGCCGTATTCAAGTCCGCCATATTCCGAACGTAAACATTGAAACTAAGAGATGAGAAAAAAGGGACGAAGAAGACGTCAGCAGATTCCGGATCCATGACCCGAACTGCCTCCCTGGAAGAACACGATCCGTCGTTCCCCTCGCACAAAAGCGAAGCCATCATCCAGTACTCCACACTGTGCTGCTTCCGGAGCCCATCGCCCCACCTCCAGGCCGGAATATTGGCCGCCGTCACGGCAGTGTCATTGGGGAAGCTCGGGTCCATCAACCCTACATTGAAACGCGGCGGCAGATCGTACATGTATACGCGGAGGGGCTGCGATCTGTCCGGGCAGGGTATGGCGGAGGAGAGCTGAGGGATGAAGGAGAGGAACTGCGATCTGTAGTCGAGGGTCCCGGCGAGGAGCAAGGAGCCGACGAGTAGGGGAATGCATAGCGATAAGCAAATGAGAGTCCTGTTTATCGATTTTGGCATTTAATTTTGGAGTGGAGTGTGTGCTGTCTGTGCGTCAAGGAATGAAAGAAAAAAGAAAGGGGTGAGAATTGGGGGCAAATAGTGATGAGGGTAGAGTTGGATCAGCGAATAAGAGCTGTGTTGATCGCACTGCTCTCTCTATCTAATAATAAAAAATAAAAAAAAAACTAAAATAGTCCCAAATCTTATCGGAGACCTAATCGCCTCCTCTGGTCGCGCTTGTAGCGGCGCTTCAACGCCAACCAAACCGAGAAGATCTCCTCGTCTAGCGTCGGTGACCCCTCTCCATATTAGAATCTCTTCGTGCTCTCCGGTTGTCCACTCAGCGGTTGAGGTTTCGGCGGCTACCATGGCGTGGGAGATCTGCTGACTTAAGCCTTCTCCAGTGAGTTAGCTGGGGTAGGGTGAGCCCTCTTCTTCCGAGTTGCTTTTTCTGCCCTGTGCTAAAAATTTGTGGGTTTTGGTTGGAGAGGGCAACTTAGCTGGGTGTTGGGCTGAAAGCGGTGCTCCGGTTATGATATGTGTGGCAGGCCGGTCGGGTAAGGTGTCTGGTCCGGCGGAGTGTCCAGCTAGCCGATTGTCGGAGTTTTTGGGTTCTTCTCTCAAGCTAGGTCTCTTACTGTTGCGAGTCGTCTTCAGATATCGGGTCGTCGTCTGTGATGTTGTTTGACTGGGGTTGGAGGAGGGCTTATTCTTAGTTTTCTGGTGTTTCTTGTGTTGTTTGTGTGTTTTGCTTTTGTCGGTTGTTTTAGTTTTTTCTTCATTTTTGCAGCTCAATTCTCTCTTGTGGGAGTGTTATTCTTCATCGTTGAAGTTTGATTCTCTGATGTGGGAGTGTTTAATCTTAGTTCATGTTTAGTTTGTTTGTACTGTGGGTGCGTTAGCGTAATTCTGATGTCTACTTTGTGTAGACTTCCCTGAATTCGGCTAGATGGTTGCGGCTCATTCTAGATTTATTTCTAGTTGTATTTGTGGGTTTTATCTATAAATTCTCTCGTTTCAAATTAAAAAAAAAATGAGTTGTGTTTATTTTTTCTTATTGTTTTATTTTACCTGTTTTTGTTGGGGAATTTAAGTCCTTTTTTTTAAACCAATCGGAACAAATCGGACACCAACAACAATAACTGAGAGACTCACTTTCATATTGTCATCTTTACAATAGCCAATTCAGACATCCTTTCTCTTTCAAAAATCCATATATTATGTGCTCTCTACAACCACCATAATATATAAGTGGTTATCTGGATTCGAACCTCTGACACCACTGATTTGTCAAAAGTACAAACCTGCCACCACCAATTTTTGAATCTGCTTTGATCAACAGCTAGGTCGTCCCATTGCAGAGGGGACATCTCCCAAATTAGTGAAGATTCTCTGCAATAGAAAAACACATGCTCTACAGTCTCGGCCACTTTATCACAACTTTTGCATATCTCATCAACTTCAACTCCTCTAGCCTTAACATTCACTAGCATAAGGCGAGTTCCAGTGTAAATTTCTAAAGGAAGTGTTTTAATTTGCTCTTAACCTTTAATCTCCATCTTCAGTTTCTGGCCTCCTCGTATTTCTTTGCAGAACAACTGCATTCTGCTCTATCCAGCTGAAGAACCTTTTCAAAAAGGAAGTGTCTGGTACGTCAAAAAATCTGACCTGCTGGAAATCGGCTCGTCTTCGTCTTCCTCGCCGGTAGAATGTCGAAAACTTGCAAAAATTCTCACACCAGAGGGTTTTCTGGTGAAATGCCTCTGATGCTTAAGTCAACATCTTTCTAAATTCAATTCTCAAGAGTATAATAGGAAAATCGTGGTCACAATCATTAGTCTCACCCAGATATATAAGGGTGACGTATCTGCTTTTAGAAGGCTACTCGGATGAGAGGAGGTGGTTGTCTAAAACTGTCTGGCCTGCCCAATCATACAACAAACACTGAAGGTGTGTCAGAAACGGTTATACGATATGGACCAATCAGGACATGCCACGTGTCCTCCGTACGTGGGGGTTTAATTCCTTTGAAATCTCCTCGAATGCTCAAATATTCGACCAAATCTAGTTCGGTTCGCTGACTGCTCGAAGTCGGGAAAATGGTCGATCAGACGACCATTTGTGTCACAGGTCACTCTTCAACCAGACCCTTGGAGGGTCTAGGATCAACCTACCCTCCATGCACCGAAATCCCTCTTAAGTTGTCTTCAACCAGAGAATCTTGTTTCTGTAGCATTCGACCATGACCATGTGAGTGTTATATACTGAAAGGTTGGCTTTAGATGATATTACACTTTTACCCCTTATGAATGAAAATCATGTTAGATTAAACAAGTTCTACGTTCTATTGTTTTTCATTAGATAAGGTGGGTTGTCATCAGGCGAACCGATAATCACTCTACTCGCGAAAAATTGTTTATTGGTTCACAACCTAGATGGACATGAACACTCCATCAGAATGGTCGTAGTGTCAACTGTACAGTTTTTCTTGGCTGATTCGTTGCACTAATATATTTATATATTGACCAGGATCCCATAGAAGAGCAGTTCGTTTTAAACTTATCATCATAAACGGAGTAGGCCTCGGTTAATTACTGCGTACTCTTAACGCGTAAGATATTAAATAGACATATACATGCAGTATTTATTGCTTTGTTTCACACGGGTGAGGTTTAGTGAACTGAACCAAAAGACCCATTGTCTTGGGTAATATTATTGTAGGGAAAAAATCTCTTTCACCCCATAACAAAGACAAATTAAGTTTTTCACACCGCCCAATAAAAAGCTAAGTTTTTTCACCCCAGAAAGTGCGAAGGCTATGCGAAAACTATCGCATATTCATCACATAATTGTCCGTATGCGAAGGTTATGTGAAAAACTGTGGCATATAAATTGCTTAACTGTCGCCTATTCATCGCACAATGCCTTCGCACAGTTATGCCATTGATATGCGACAGTTATGCAATAGTTTTTCGCATAACCTTCGCATATGGACAGTTATGCGATGAATATGCGACAGTTCGCATAACCTTCGCACTTTCTGGCATGAAAAACTTAGCTTTTTATTGGGCGGTGTGAAAAACTTAACAAGACTTCAAAAGGGGTGAAAATAGATATTTTCACTATTATTGCATGTATGGCGTGCTATTAGGATATTTACGATCACCATGTAAGTTTAGTTTAATGATGTCCCCGGAGTGAGTGTTTGTCTCATTTTTGTTGCTTTTTTTCTTGTCATTTTTCATTTTCTTTCCCCCCATTTTAGGTCGTTTCTTTTGTTTTTAGTTATTTTCGTGTTTTATTATATGTTTTCCTCCATTTTGAGTCTTTAGGTGTTTTTCGTTTGTTTTTCCGGTTTTCTTTGTGTTTTGTCGTTTTTGGTGTGTAGGTTGGGAGCTTGGGGAGAAATTTTTCAATAGTAAAAATTGGTTTCAAGAGCATGATTGAATAGATGGATTCATTAGCGACGTATAGGAAAAAACGAAACTCAATTCTGAGTTCGGACGAGTTCAAACGAGGCCGAAACATAAAGTGGTGCAGTGCAGTCCATGTCGCGCGGGCGCCGCACTGCGCCACGCACCGCGACCCCGACAAAAGCGCCCAGCGCCGCGCCACATGCCACGCCCAGTGCCCCACGCCCGACCAGATTATATAAAATCCCGTTTTGCTCGATTTTTTGAGCAGTTTCTCATTGGGACTCGTTCCCAACCCTAAAAGACACTCCAGAACCCATTTTATCAGATTTTTATCGAGAAAAATCATTGATTCTCCTCTCGAATTTTCTCATGATTTTTGCTTGTTTTCGGACGAAGCTTGTAGTTGGGATTCAACATTCAATTTCTCTATTAATCGTAAGTCTTTATTTTCATTTGATTGATGAAAATAATTGCCTAGGTTGAGATGTTTAATTGTGTTGAATTTGATAGACTTAGCTAATTCCGATTGCTAGGGATAGGGGATGATTGTTCTTATTCAATTCGTATTTGTCGGGCTTTGATTTGTTCGTTCTTGTGCGAGTTAATTTGATTATAAATTGATGAATTCTTGTTTGGTTGACTGATATAATCAAAGGGTGACACATCGATCTTGCAATTGGAAATAGTTGAATATTGATTCGTCGTGTTAGGGTTTTGTTGATTCTAAATGGTTAGTTGATTAATGCTCGTCTAATTGAATTAGCGACTTTTACAACCAAAAGGAGAGAAGTCGTAGACCTAGGCTTGCATGAGATAGATGATTTCGTAATTGAATAGTCTATAGGTTTTGAATTGAAATATGTGCTTGTCAATGACCTCTCTTGTTATGAAAAGTTATTGGGATTGGGATAATTGGCATGTGTTGTATGCTCTTGTTCGTCTATGTTTAATCCCTTTTTACGAAGAGTTATTGGGAGCGAACCGCTAGATGTTTAGGGGAAAGCGTCAATCTAAAATCAAATGATCAATGTCCCGGTTTTGTGAATAGAACTTGAATTAGTTATCCTTGACTCCCCAGCTTCTTTATCATTGTTTCATCTATATTTTTAGGTAGATTTATGTTTCATGAATTTCTTAGTCATTAGCTAATACAATCCTTTTTGATTAGTATGTTTAGGATTTGTATTCCTTTTATGTGTTATCATTACCAAAGCTAAATTTCGAACCACATTCCTCAAGAGATCGACCCAGGGAATGAATCTTTCGTTTCGGTACTCAGTAAAAATAACAATTTGTACACAACAGCGAGTTCATTAAGGATTATTATGCTAAACCCTACATGTGGATTAAATTCTGGCATAGTAAGAATGTAATGAACGAGCACTAGCTTCGGTGAAATATTAATAAATTAATTAATTCTTGATTGTCAGTAATTGAATTAATTAATGGACATTATATCTTAAACATGGGGAGATAAGTCGAGTGATTATTATTGGAGTCTCAATTGTAAATTGGACTAGGAAATGGGAGTGCAATAATATTATGTTGGTGGCCCATTAATATTATTTCATTAATTAGAATAAGTGGGTTGACCCATAAGTATTTTAATTAAATTAAGGAGCTCTATTCCTAATTTCATATGGGTCCTTATTGTAGCACTATATATACATCATTAACCTCATGGGAAGAGAAGAGAACACACATAATTTTGTGCGCCCCACGTCTGCCCTCCCTCTCTCTCTCAGTTCTCATTTGAGCTTTATCTTCTTCTTGTTGCTCCACCGGTACAAGTTGAAGAAGGGTGTTTGAGATATATAGTAAAAGATCCATAGGCATTCGAGAGCCGGTGATCATCTACAAGGAGTCAACGATCCACAAGCTCAAGCCTGAGGACCGCCGACCGCGACCAACTCATCGCCGCCGCGACGCCAGCCGAGGACCGCCGCAGCCCAG